GCGGATGATAGGAGTTGTAGATCAACATACCTGGAAGGTGTTGGATTGAGCAAAGCTGGTGTGTCAGATTTAGTAAGAAACTTGCACAATGTCTCTGGTTCTCCAGGTACAAAACTTGGGAGTGGGCCATGCCTGAGATCTAACAAACCCCCCCATAGCTTTTTTTAAAAATGCCAGAAGCAGAAAGAAAGGAAGGCAGGCTTGATGGATCACACTTGTTTCATGTTCAGCACAAGGTCACAGCGATCCCATTATCAGCCATGTGGAATAACAGCCAGCACGGGGTGGCTCCCCCATGTGTATATAGGCTATCTCCCTTTTTTTTGTCCTGCAAATGCCATTGTAATCTGCAAAACTTCTTTCTCCTCCTCCTGTTGGCATTTCATGTGCAGTTAGGTTCCTCTCGCGGAGTCAGAGATTGCAGCAGAGCTGGATTAGGCGAAAAGCAAACGGATAGCTTTGAAAAGGGTGCAAGTCTGAAACAGTAGCAGGATTCAGTTCTTCCACCCAGACAAAGGGAGCAGGAATCTGAGCTGGCACGACGGCTGAACCACAGCTCTGAACAGTGTCCCTTTTTTTAATGACAGTTTTCAGCTCCAGCTTTAGAGCAGGGATTCCCAGCCTTGGGTCCCCCAGATGTCCTTGGACTACAACTCCCAGAAGCCTTCCCCACTGGCTGTGTTGGACAGGACAGTTGTCTCCCAAGTCACTTCTTAGGAAGGGGATTTTCAAATCTCTGCTTGAGAGCAGAGGTTGCAGTGACCTTCCCTATTTGTTTCACATTGTGTGATAAATCTCTGCTCCTGCTAGAGGCTGCCTGGGAGGTGGTCTTAAAGATTAAAGCAACATGGCAGCATTGAAAAGCCAAGCAGAAAAAAGACTTGTTTTGCAATGCATCATGAACGGTTCTGGAACGGTTGGTTACTCCTGGCTCCTTGTCTTTAGATCAGGCTTGGGTTGGGCACCCCCTACAAGCAGAGGGATGCCCTGGGGGTGGGGGGAAGACATTGGTCAGGCAGCCCTTTGCATGGCATGGGGAGGCAGTGTGCCCTAACAAAGAGGATGTAGCCACCAGGTTAAACGAGGGTGGTTTTTTTTGCTCCAGGGCGCCCAAATTTGCCAGGTGCTGAAATCTAGAGATGAAGGAAGGGGATTTTCAGATTTTGTGGACTACAGATCCCATAATTCTCCATTCTGGCAGTTCCACCTGATAGACAGGCACTTAGGGACAAGCGCTGACTTAGTGGCCATTCACTGTTGTGATTCGTACCATTTGATGTATGCTTATCGCATCGAAGTAAGAGGATCCTGCCAACGGTCGAATGAAACACTTTCCCTAGCCCTGGATCCAGCTTGTCACCCTTACTTTACTCTGGCACCCCCTAGACGTGTACTACAGAGTCTATCCTCCACAGCCAGCCTAGAATCCAGTGGCTGTGTTGCTTGTCATGGGCGGAATTTGACTCTGAATCCCTTAAAGAGCTATGGATTTGAGTCAGTTGCAATGAGCAGACCTCGATCAAATGCTGAAAAGTGGCTTAAAACTAGTGGGTGTGTTATACACACACACAGCTCTCCTGTACCTGTAACACACTTGTCTGTGGGCATTTTTGATTTGCGTTTAAACATCTAGTCCCTGCTTTGTACATAGCAGTGAAAGAAATGCATGCCGGAGAAATGTGCAGGATCCCGGTGCACTAATACCGCTTTGAAATGGGTTTTGTCTTCATTCTTCCAACACGGTTGCCCCTCTGTTCATGCAAATGTGTTAAAAGTCCACCCTACGGCCATAAGCTTCTTCAGTTTGGAACAGAGCTAAAGACGAGGGCTCAACAAGTTGAATGCTGAATTAAAGATAGTTTCATATGCACTGGCTGATGTTGTGTGGAAGGGCTAGGATATGGAGAGGTGTTATCAGCAGGTCACACTGAGGTCCTCCTCCCTGGGTACCTGCCATGGTCCGGTGGGTGGGGCGCTGCCATCTCCGAGCATCCCCCCCCAGCCCTCCTGCCTCCTGTTGTGCTGTTGCTACCTGCTCAGCTGACCTCTTAAGTAACAGGAGCAAGGAGAAGTAGAAAAACTCTTGGTTCACCTTGCTTTCGATGGGCATGCGGATGGAGCCCAGAGGAGCAGGGTAAGCCCAGGAAAAAATTATGCAGACGCCTCACCCTGATTCCAACCATTTAGCTTAATGTATTGACCCTCCAGCTTGGCTAATGGGATAAGGGAGGTCTTTGCCAAGCCTACCCGAGATGCCTGCATTGGGTCCAAGACCTGCATGCAAAGAATATGTTTTGCTGCTAATCTGCAGTCCAAGACCAGCTGCCGGTGAGCTAAGGAGCAGCCTGAGGGTTGGCAGATCTCACTCAGGGTTGGTTTTACCAACTAATACTCAGTTTCCTGGACCTAGGATTGATTTTCTTCCTAGCCTTACAGATACTGGGATCTGCATGTACAGCAGGTGCTCTACCACTGAGCAAGGTGCCCTGGACAGGAGCTGGCAAGGGTCTGAAGCAGGAGGCCTTGTAGAGGAAGAGTGTCTGCTGGAAGCTTCATTCCAAAAGGGTCCACCAACACATGGACCACCCAACCTTCGTTACAGGCCAGGGACTGTGACTCCGACCGGGTGTCGATCAAAGGTCCAGAGCTCCCGTCAGGCAACTGCAAGTGGAACAACGCACCGGGTTGAAAGCAGTAGCATGACGGGGGATTAGGTTTTGCAACGCTTGGTTGGCTTGAGGGAGAGAGACTGCAGGCTGGCGTTGGCTGTCGGCCAATCCCCCAGCTAGATAAACAAGCCGAGCGGCTTCTCTCTCTCTCTCTCTCTCGGCTCCCAGATAAAAAGGCAGAATCCTGTACGACCAGTTTCCAAATCTGCCATTCCATCAACTTTCTTCCCCTCATGGCCCAAATCTTCCCGGTAGGTTAAAAGTAATTTGGGGGCAACTACAGTTTTTAAAATCGCAGTTGCTTCTTAACAGGCAGCAACGCTTGTGTCAATCTCGGTTGTTGCTGATGGCACACGAGCCCAAGGAAGTCCTTCTCTGCAGAGCAAAAAAGTTAAATGGTGGCATTTACTGCCGCAAGATTATGCTCTGAAATATACAGATAGGTGTGGATGGTGATGTGTTTAAGGGCGGTTTGTGCCAGAACTGGGAAATGTTCATCTCTTTTTGGAATGCAGCTCTCAGAATCCCCTAGCCAACATAACTGCTGCCCCTTCTTGACTAGGGGATGGTGGGAAATGCAATCCAAAAGAGGCATCATTTAACTTTGACTTATTATAAGCATTAGGGACGTGGTGGCGCTGCGGGGTCAGAAGCCTGTGCTGCAGGGTCAGAAGACCAGCAGTCATAAGATCGAATCCACGGGACGGAGTGAGCTCCCGTCGCTTGTCCCAGCTCCCGCCAACCTAGCGGTTCGAAAGCATTATGCTCTGAAATATACAGATAGGTGTGGATGGTGATGTGTTTAAGGGCGGTTTGTGCCAGAACTGGGAAATGTTCATCTCTTTTTGGAATGCAGCTCTCAGAATCCCCTAGCCAACATAACTGCTGCCCCTTCTTGACTAGGGGATGATGGGAAATGCAATTCAAAAGAGGCAGCATTTAACCTTGACTTATTATAAGCATTGATATGTTGCCAATGGTAGAATAGTTATTTGATGGCATAATCCCATCACTCCCTTTTGGAATGGCTGGTTCTCTGTTTTTCATTAACGGGGATGAGCACCGCCCGCTAGAGTCGAACACGACTGGACAAAAATTGTCAAGGGGAACCTTTACCTTTACCTATTATAAGCATTGATTTGTTGCCAATGGTAGAATACTTATTTGATGGCATAATCTTCTCACTCCCTTTTGGAATGGCTGGTTCTCTGTTTTTCATTTTGTTTCGTTGGTGCAAATGTATGTGTTGAAACTGAGTTACCTTTTCTCCAGAGACTCTGGGTATTTTACACATAATTAAAGCCAGCCGAACATACTTAGCAGCAAACGATTAAAGGAGCAGGGACCCAGCCTGTTCACTGCAAGTGCTGTCTCTGTGTTAAAAAACAAACACAGTCTTTTAAAATATTAGCCAGTCTCATGAGCCGAGTGCCAGGCTAGGACCGCCAGGTCTTCTTGGGCTTGCGGGTGTTCCTTGCCCTGCGGTGTATGTGGGATGAACGACGAGAGGAAATGTGTGTGTTGACTTCGTCTCCTTGAAGGAAAGCTGGGGTAATAAATGTAATAACAGGGGATGGCAACATGGCAAACATTTAAAGAAGGAGTGGCCTCACCCTGTCTCTGTTAGTGGTGTCTAAAAAGCAGGTTAAGGTACCTCTTTGAGCGGGGAATTCCACAGAGTGAGGGTGACCAGGATTGGACCTCGTTTTATTCATCACATTTGTGGTTCTTATTTCCTCGAATGAGCTCAGAGCGGCATACGCACCCTCCCCATTTTATTTTTCACAACCTCCCCATGCCAGGGTGTGAGAGACCATGACGGGCTCAGGGCCGGCTGGTCCATTTCATGGCTCCACAGGGAATTATCCCTGACTGTCTAGCTATGACTCTCTAAACCATTTCTGGGAGGTGGCGGGAGATACTTGTGGCGTCATCTTCTGAGACCCCTCATTTATCTTCAGGGCTGGTGGTGGGGAGAGTCACTCCACCAGTGCTGAAGGAAATTGTGCCAGTTTCTATATGGAACGGCAAGAGGAGCCATCTTGGGGGGGGGGATTTGCCTCAGACAGCCTGATGTCTCGGGCTGGCCTTGAGCACGAGGATGGAGGGATTCTTGTCCTCAGTCCCAGAAGAAATTGTGGAGCAGTTTCACCTTCCCAGCTCAGGAGGAATGGGAAGATAACGTGAGTTTTCCTGATGTTTTCCAAACATGGTTGTCTGAACTTAACGTCAGATTTTGCACCTTTGGGTCCCCGTTTTGTAATTGTGCAGCAACAAGCTTTGTGGAAACTAATGAAACTGACGATGAGTTATTGTTTTTTATTTCCGTAGTTCAGCCAACTGGTATCCAGTGACCTTAAGGCTCTGGGAAGAAGCTCTTACACCTTTTGCACAGATGGCCAACTCCTCATTCGGCAGGTTATCCATCCCGAAGCGTCAAAGAAGGTATGCAGTGGATGGGTTCAGAATAGCCCCTTGGAAACAGGCCAGCAAGATGCTCAGCTTCTGGTCAGTTTCAGCCGATAAATGCGGAGAGCTGCCATCTTGTCTTGACACATAATGGGTTCAGAATAGCCCCTTGGAAACAGGAGGACGGCCAGTAAGATGCTCAACTTCTGGTCAGTTTCAGCCAATAAATGGGGAGAGCTGCCATCTTGTCTTGACACATGCCAGTTTCCTCTTGAGGACTAGTCACTCAATGGTCCCAGCTGGATGATGTTACTTTTTTAGACTGGAGTCTGCAGAATTCCCTGATCAACATGGCCAGTGTAGGCTCCCAAGGGAAGAAGCCAGTCCTCTTCAGTTCAGCAAAGGGGATGTACACGTTGAAAAGTCTGTGTCCACGATGTATTTAATGAATCTGTTTGATGGGCTTGTGGCTGAAAACTCTGTCTAGGTTTCGTAGGCCACCAACCTCCTTTTTTGTAAAAGCCGTCTCTTAAAATATTATGGGGGAGTGTTAACTCATGAAGGACTGTGCTCCAAGAAATGTCATTCTCCCCAATGCCAAGGCAGCCCGGGGCCCTGTGCATCTCGCTTTGGTTTTGAGAAAGGTGGGGTGCGGCCAGGGTGAAATCGGAAGTAAATGTCCAGTGGGTTTTCTTGGGTCCCGGACCCTCGGATGTTACTGTGATCTAGATCTCTGACCACGTCCTAGGACTTGCAGTGTTTCGTATGTGCTGTTCTCATTCCTCCTCACCAGCTTTCTGTCCTGTTCTCGTAACAGAATCTCCTCCTCTCCGACCGCTTCTATTCGTTTTTTGATCTACGCAAAGAATTCCATGAATCCTATCCAAACTCGGCCCCCGTGAAGGATCAGACCATCCAGTCTATGGCAGAATGTATCCTTTTCCCTTGATTTCCTCTAAAGCTGTGTGTGGGTGTGGGTGTGCTGGTACGGTAGGACGAGGCACTGACTGCTGTGGTCTCAGGACAGAATGAGCCCCAGGGGTGGCCTTGGCAGAAATGAAGTTTGGGGAAAGACGCAGCAGCAGCATTTCAAGAGATGTTTAGATTTTGCATCTATAGTGTCCCCGATAAGCCTGAAAAGTGGCTGAGGTCTCTGGCTGTAAGACCCAAAGGTTGGGAGTTCAGTTCCCCATTGGGCCTCCTTGATAGAGGCTGGACTTGGCAATCTATAGGGTCCCTTCCTGCTCTGCGATTCTCAAAGGATGAGGATGTGATCCCTTGTAGTGTAGCCTTTACTTCTTAGTCGCTTGATGCCAGAATGTCACATCCACATGGCAAAGAAAGGGTACAGAAGACCCCAGTTGGGATCAAATGTCCCTGTGGCAATTCCTATGTGTACACATGAATTATGGGCGGAAATTGCTACTCTCTGAGTTGCACGACAGAGGACAGATCCCCTTCTTCCATGCTGGTTATGACAAGATGGATTCTGGTGGGAAATGGTGATGAAGCAACAATCCTGGGTCTTCCTTTCGTTTTTCGGATAAACAGTATCACGTACGTGGTCAACGGAATGAATCGTCTGCTGGAGATCCTCCCTCAGAGCCGTCTAGTCTTGTCGGTGGAGGTTCTACTTCTGGATTTCCTGCAGTGTCCTGAGGTTCAAGCTTCCAAGTCCACCTTCCCACTCAGAGCACGGGAAAGTTCATTCTTTGAACTTCAGCTCCCAGGTTTCTGGGTGCTGTCAACCAGAAAAGGGAAAATGTCCAAATCCCAGTGCTCCATCCATAACAAATCAGTTGTCGATATGCTGACGTATGCAGCGTCAGAATCATATACAGGGCTCTTGTCGCTAGTGATGTGTGTCCTCCTCTTGCTTTCTTGAACAACCACCACCCCAGATATAGGCTACAGGATCGATGAAACAGAGGAGGATTTTGGAGTCTGGCAAGTGAAGGCCATGGTGGCTATCATTTTCAACCTTCTTCCAGATGCCTGCAGTAAGTGAAAAGCCACGTTTATTGGAACTAATTCTAGCAAATATATCTGTGCAACAGCATGCTTCTTGCCTGTCTTAGCCAAGGAATGGCATTTTTCTCTGTCACTTCATTTAGTGGTTGAGCATCCGTGGAAGTTCGTGTTACAATGTTTGCCTGTTCTGTGTTTCTGTCATTTGCAGACCATCAGTTTACTGCCCCTGAAACTGTGAAATATAAATATGAAACTGGACCCTGGTAAGAGGTTTTCTCATATGAGAGTGTAACTGCTTTTAGTTCCAAAGGGCTACTTATTTACTTAGATATCTGTTGATGAAACCTAAAGGCACAGTTTCACAAAACAAGTCTCTTTTTAATTGCATTCATGTGACAGAGAACATTAACACTTGGAACAACAACAAAATGCTACAGTTTGTGCATCCAGGGCCCCAGCAACAGCACCGACATAGCTTGTAGAATTGCAAAGTGGCGAAATGACTGTGAACGGGCAATTGATATTCAGGCTAATCATGCTTAAGGCTAAAGACATTGCAAGCTTTTGTGGAGATGGTTCCACTTCATCAGGCTGAGCAGCATCACTTCATGGAGAGTGCAGAAAAATTGTAGACAGAAGTCCTAAAATTGATGGTAGATATCAGTGCCAAAATGTCTGTCCAGAGAGGTGATTTCATACCCAGGTTGCAATATTATTTGGGGATAAACATCATCCAAAGCAACGTGGGGGGCGTGGAAAGGACAATCACAGAGTAATGGTCAAACTTGTTGGTTTGAAGAACAGGGTGTAAGGAATGGTGCTCGCAACCTTCAGCCACTTTGACTTGTCTTCTGTTTTCCTTTTGCAGTAGTAAGTCAGAAACAGTGGACAGTGAAACAGTAATACGTGCCCGAGGTCTGCCTTGGCAGTCATCTGATCAGGACATCGCCCGGTTTTTCAAAGGCCTTAATATTGCAAAGTAAGCACAGAAGCTCTAGTGTGAAAATACCTCCAGAAATTGGTGCCCCCATTTTCTTCTTTTCCTCTTCCCTCCTCTTCCCTTCTTCCTTTTGTGTTGTGTCTTTTAGATTGTAACCCTGAGGATTGGGATTGTTTTATTGCTGACCTTTGCAAGCTGCTGGAGGAGCCTTGTTTGGCTCAAGAGTGAGCAGAGAAGCGCTTGTCATCATCATCATCAGAGAAGATTCTGTTCCTCTCATTACTGTCTCTTTTCCTCTCTCTCCCAGAGGCGGGGTGGCCCTGTGCCTGAACGCGCAAGGAAGAAGAAACGGAGAGGCCCTGGTGCGGTTTGTCAACTCTGAACAAAGAGACCTGGCCCTGGAACGACACAAGCACCACATGGGGAGCAGATACATTGAGGTAGGTTTGGTTCGGCACAGGTCGGCATGTTTCCCGGTCTTGACAGCCCCGTGGATTGTACTTGGTAAGGGTAGGCGGCGCGTATTCTAAGTAAGTTAAATAAGGCCATCCGTGTGTGAGCTAAGAATATGACGAATGGAGAATGGGTGAATCTTGGCTAGAGATGGACATGAAACAGACTGCAGTGCAGAATGAAACAAACAACCCTCATGAACTGGGCCATTTCATGGTTCGTTTCCAGGCACATTGGGGAAATGCATCCTGCCCAGAAGGAAGTGAAATGTCAGACTATGATCTGCATTGACGATTCGTACGCTTTGTGCTTTGTGTCATTTGGGATTTCTGGGAGTGGTAAAAGACCCCCCACCCCAACAGGAGTTAGAGACACCAAACATGTTGTGTGTCCTTCCGTTGACTCTTCTCCCCACCCCCTAGAAATTTGGCAAATACTGGATTGGGGGCATCCAAGTTATAGCAAACCCACCCACCCCACCGGAAAATGCTCTTTAGCAGCTGGCTAAATTTTGCTTTAGATTGTTTTGGTTTAGAGTTTTGCTTTAGGTCATGTACCGTATTTGATCATTTTTGTGTTTTACATTTGCATTGATCAGTTTTGATCTTTCTTTCGTTTCTTGCATGGTGCCTTATATTTTTAATTCTGTCTGGGCTGGTTAATTTTATTAGAATCCTGAAGAAACATTTAAAAAATGTCAACATTTTGAAGCAGTACAGTCTAAGTGTTTCATATGTAATAACACCAGTTGTTTCACTGGTTGCTTCCCCCCCCCTATTTCCTTACTTTGCATCAGGTTTACAAAGCGACTGGAGAGGAATTTCTGAAGATTGCTGGAGGTGAGTTTAATGTTCTCTACAAAGCGACTGGAGAGGAATTTCTGAAAATTGCTGGAGGTGAGAAGTTTAATGTTCTCTGTTAAATCTACTAAATCTGCCATGAGGTTTGAGTGCTGGAAGTTATGTAACCAAAACATGTGTAGGAAAATTGTATCTATATATCTTTTTGAGCCTTCAGGTTAGACTGTTGTACCACATTGTGCATGGGTCTGCCATTGAAGACTGTTTGCCAATTGCAGATTTGAATACAGCTGCAAGAATACTAACTGGGAGCAAACGTATTATGATGATGCTTCCGTTTTACCAACTGAATTGGTTTCCAGTCTAGGTTTGATCCGAATTCTAATCAGTGGCTAGATCCTTTTGTATTGTTTGGCATTGTACAGAATCACGTTCCCCTCTGAGCTTTCCAAATAATGTTTATTCTATCTGATTTATATTGCTTTGTCATCTTGCGGCTTCTAGACTGATTATGGATGAGATCAGACAGCAATAAAGGATTGTGTCTGATCGTGCTGGAAAGGAATTGCTCCAGCTTTGCTCCAGAAAAGAGTAGCTGCTTTGCAATCTCCTGTACATCATCTGGTCACCAGAAAACGTCTTGTGCTGGACCAGGCCACCGCTGGTCCAAAACAGAAGCTATAACACCCCTCTTATCACATCTTACGTCTTATTTATCTCTGTAGGCTATTTATTCTTCTTTCTAAACCACGCTGGGAAAGCAATTGGAACACTGGCTTACAGGGAGATATAAAAATTGCCAATACCTTATTTTTCTGTGTATAAAATGACACTTTTTCCTAAAATATTTAGATGAAAAAATGAGGGTCATTTTATACACGGAGAGGGGGAGGGATCAAGGCGTTTTAATCCCTGCCTTCTCCCACCACTTTTTGCTAAGAAAGTGAAGGGGGAAAGCACCCCCCCCTCCACTTTCTTTGCAAAAAGTGGAGGGGAAAAGCAGCTTTTTGCAAAGGAAGTGGGGGGGGAGCAGGAATCAAACTGCTTTGATCCCTGCCTTCCCCCACCACTTTCTTGCAAAGAAAGAAATGTTGGGTTAGGAAAGGGGAGGTGTCTTATACATGGTAAAATACGGTAATACCTGGTGGATCCTGCAGCAAAACGTTGCAGTGCATCCCACTTCCGTTCATTTCTAACCCTTTCCCAGGTTGCTCCATTCCTTCACAGCTTGCATAGCTGCACAGGAAGCATACTGCTCAGTCCTCCTTAGACCAAGTCTTACCACTCCCCACTTAGTGTATTTTCCCCCGGTGTGTGTGTGTGCGTGCTTGTGTGTGTACGTACACACTTCGTGTGTGTGTGTGTGTGTGCTTGTGTGTGTATGTACACACTTTTGGAAGCTCCCGCAAGCCTGATGATACCTCCCCATTCTAAATAAACTGGGACATTTAGAGAGTGCTGTTGATATAGGGTGTAAGAATAAATTTAAAAGGAAGAAGGTGAATTTCCGAAGGACCTTTACCTTCAGTTCTAGCCGTGGCATTCTGGGCTGTGCGGATAGGATGGAGTACATGTGACATCGGCCCCAGCCGGGACAGCCACTGGCATGATAGAAGCTGTAGGCTCATGTACCTGCAGTCACCTGTTCAGGCAAAGCTTCATTACGAGGCAGCTGTTAGTTGGAGACTTCTAAAAACTTTGGATCACGTTGCATATTGTAATAAACCGGCTGCGTTAATTGATCTAAAAGCGAACCCAAATGTTTTTCGTCAAACAGCAGCTACAAAGTTTTGCAAATTGAGGATCAGTTTGCTTTTTAAAAAAAAGTTAAGCGGCAAACATTTTTGCCACGTTCTAGGCACGTCCAACGAAGTCGCCCAGTTTCTCTCCAAGGAGAACCAAGTCATCATCCGCATGCGGGGCCTTCCCTTCACGGCCACGCCCGAGGACGTCCTGAGCTTTCTGGGGCCGGAGTGCCCTGTTACAGGAGGGAAGGAGGGGCTCCTTTTTGTCAAATATCCGGACGGACGGCCGACGGGAGACGCCTTTGTCCTGTTTGCCTGTGAAGAGTACGCGCAGAATGCACTTAAGAAGCACAAGGAGATCCTTGGGAAGCGTTACATTGAGCTCTTCCGAAGCACGGCGGCCGAAGTCCAACAGGTTGTTGCCCTTGACTCCGTCTAGTTCCTTACCTCCTCTTAAATTTCTCCCTGTCCCCCCCCCCATCTCACATCCTTCCTGTGATGGCCGCCAAGGAGTTCGTCCCAGTCCCTCCATTTCACGGCAAAGAATCGATGCAAAAAAAAAAAGCACAAGAATTTGACCTAGCATGGAGGGCTCCTGCGTTGTATAGCCGCCAGTAGGGCAGGGTGTAGAAAAGGGGGTTCCTCTTCTGTGGGTCTTGTGGCCCATTCTGTGCCCCCATCATCTGCCCTCCTCCCTCCGGGGCCACCACTCAAATTGGGTTGGGTGGGTGTGCTGCCAAAATCCGCCATAGAAAAGCCGCTTCCCACCCTTATCCAACTTTACATTGGATTCTCTCGGTTTGCTACCGGTTTCGTCCGCTAACTGCTGCAAGCAAGCAAAATGGTTGCTTTAAATGGGATTTTCCCAGGCTGGCTTTTAAAATTCAGCAGCACGTTTTTTGGGGATGTGCCTTTCGGGGCTGCAAAAAAACAGCCATGTGGTCCCACAGGTGTCACCTGTGCGGGTGTAGAAAATGCATCAATCCACAAACGAGTTTAAAGGTTATGTGTTGATTATTGTTCTTCAGGATATCCTGTACTGATGCATTTGAGAGCATGTCAACTAAGGACACAGAGGGGGGCTTTTTGGTGGCTGCTCCAAGGCTGTGGAACTCCCTTCCACTGGAGGCTAGGTTGGCTCCCTTCCTGTCATCCTTCCTCTGACAGGCAAAGACTTTTGTTTTCAATCACATTTGTAGCAATTGAAGGGGTCACATTTAGAAAGGTGCTGTCCACATGGGGTGCTGCCCTATTCTATTTTCACTCAATGTGGTAGGCTCTTAAATTCTTTTCCGGTGTCTTAATTTAGTTGTTGTTTAAATATAATTACATGCTTCACTGAATCTTTGAAGTATTATTGGCCAGAATACAATTGAACATTATTATTTACATTGGCATAAGAGTAATGGCGCGACTTGGAGCGGAGAATAATCAGTCCTTAGTTCCCAAATGAATTCCTAGCCATGCATACATTGTATGACTCAGCACATGACTATGAAGCCAGTGGGGATTCATTAATTAGTGGTTATTCACAGGTGGAAGATGTTCAGGGATTTTTTTGGTTACAGCTCCCAGAATTCCACAGCCCAAATGGCTGCTAGTGTTGAGTTTCTGAGAGTGGCGGTCCAAAACACCCAAGTGTTTCCCATCCCCAGATTAGGCATCCTTCAGTCTCGAGAGACGATGGTAACATGTTCTGTATGGAGGACTTGGAACAGCGTCTAGTGTGGCTGAGAAGGCCAATTCGAGAGTGACCATCCCTTCCACACTGAAGACAGACGCAATCTGTTTCCTGTCCAGCTCCCTGATTTTTCTGAGTTTGGGACTGCCTCTTCACCTCGGCCTGCTGGACAAGGGTCTCTTCAAAATGGGAGAGGCCATGATGCACCACCTGCCTCCAGGCTGAATGCTCAGAGGTCAAGATTTCCCATCTGTTGAGGTCCATTCCTAAGGCCTTCAGATCCCACTTGCAGATATCCTTGTATTGCAGCTGAGGTCTCCCTCTGGGGCAATTTCCCTGCCCTAATTCTCCATACAGGAGATCCTTTGGAATGAGACTGTCAGCCATTCTCACAACATGCCCAAGCCAACATAGACGTTTAGGTAGACATAGATGTTCCCATCCCCAGTTAGAAGTACTGTATATTGATGGTGCTAATCAACTAAAAGTGGTGGAGCCCCTCCTTGACAGCAGCTGGTCTCTCCCTGGCCTTAATGTATGATTCTCTTTATAGATTAGGTTCTCTGTATTCTGCCCGGCTGAAGTGAGCAACCGGATGCTCTCTAGATGTTTTTGGATTGCGCCCACGGTCCGCAAAGACAGTGGCTGGGGTTTCTGGCTGTTGTGGTCCAGAATTTCCGGAGGGCATGAGGTTTCCTATGCCTGCCCCCATTCCCAAGGAAAAAGAGGGCCTGCCTGTTTAGGCAGGAGTCATGCTGTTGGCAGTTGCATTTCTGGATTCTAAAAGCAAGTTGTGGTCTTGGGGTATCTGATCCAAGACCTGGAGGTGGGGAAAGGGGCATTTCCCCCCACCCACCCACCCTTAGCGCCTTGCATTTGTCTCCATCCTGATCAAGCTACCTCTGTGTGCTGTTTGGAGCGCGGGTCAGATTTTGCCCTATGTAAAAATAATAATAATCAAAATCATGGTGATGCCTAGAGGGGTGAGTCTCCCCTTCTGTGCCACAGACATTAGGATAGTGATTCCACAATGTGCTTTAAAAAAAAAACTTTGACAGGACCCGCTCACTGTTTTTGAATTTTCACGGCTGATATATTGTCCATCACGTGTCCAGATATTATAGCTGTCTGTGTTGGGTCCTGTGCACCTTGACTCAGAGAAGTGAAGAAGCCATTTGTTGCCCTGCCTCAAGCAGCCAGATGCCTTGGGCTAGTTCTCCCTTAGCCTGAGCTATGCTTGTCTTGATGATTTAGGTGGTTTCCATAAAGCCCACCTTGAAAAAGGCGACCATTCTCCTCCTGCTAAGGGTGCTTTTCTCCTTCTCCGCCAACAGGTCCTCAACAGGTACATGTCGACCCCGCTCATCCCTACGCTTCCGACGCCCATCATTCCTGTCATCCCACCTCCCTACGCCATTGCTGCTGGCAGTGTCCGAGACTGCATCCGACTTAGGGGTTTGCCTTACACCGCTGGGATTGACGACATCCTGGAGTTCATGGGAGAGGCGACTGGGGACATCAAGCCGCATGGAGTCCACATGGTTCTAAACCAGCAAGTAGGAGAAAGCACTAGATGATAATGTTGCAGGTTTTGAATTCCTGGCTAAATTCCTCTTATTCTGGGCAGGAGAAGTGCAGGGGTTCACAGAGCAGAATACCTTGTAAGTCCCCCAAAAAGTGCAGGGGTTCACAGAGCAGAATAGCTTGTAAGTTCCCCAAAATAGTCCACTCCTTTTCCTCGTCAACTGGCACCTACAGCCTCAACAACAGACTCTGAGACATTAATAAGAGAAAGAATTTTTAAAAACTCATTGCTTTACTTACAGTTGTAAACAGACCAAACAGCAAACTGACGAACATGGCTGTCTTTCAGCAACAGATGTCAATAAATTCAGTGCTTCCAACAGACTACAAAGGGAGGGGAAAAAGACACTGAGCAGAGAGGCAGGGCTCTCTTTGAATTTAGAGGCAGGAAAGGAACTATTGGTTAGTAATGGATAGATTGACAGCCAGCCCAGTCCAAAAAGGCCTCTCCCAGCTAATCCTACTAAAGACAAACATGCAAGGCTGCAAAAACTCTGCAATGTTTGAGTGCAAGGCAGAGCCAGACCAATTCTCTGTCTTGAACTACAACTCCCAATATCCCCTAGCCAACCACTTTTGAGTAGGAAGTAGAGCTAGAAGATTTACCTCTTTTTTTTCTTTCTTTTCGAGACTTCAGCTCCTAGGATTCCTCAATCCACCACGACCCTGGTGGCTGAAGGAATCTGGGAATTATAATTTGAAAAGATTACATTTTCAAACTCCGAGTGAGAAAGAATGGGACGATGGAATGGAGACAGGTTCTGGCTGTCAGAGGAGCAACTTCAGGCTCCCATAACTTGAAAGGGAAGAGGGGGGGATAACGCTGACTGTCGACACCGTTAGTCTTTCTCAGTGCGCCTTCTTCAGTAGCGCTAGAGGGATGAAGGAGGGGTGTCGGTTGAGTAAAGAGCTAAATAAAGGGGATTCTTTTCTTTCTGTCATCACTTCCTGCTTATCAAGTCCATACAAAGTACTGTACAGTGTAATTCTTGCATTTTGAGATACGCTTGTACAAAATTGGGATACCTTTTTTTTTAAAGAAAAACTGGACAGTAAAGGAGTGCGTTTGCCAGTCTTCCAAGGGGAACGTTCCTTTCTTACTGAGTAAATATACAAATGCAGATATGAAAATGAAATGCTAAGGGAGAAATGCAATTCAACGGAGCAGGAAGGTTTTCTGCTTTATTGATTTAAACGAGTCCATCCAGTCGGCGGTTTCTGTGTGCCTATTAAACATGGCCGAATGCACTGCAAAGCAGGCATATCCTTCTACCATTGATAAGGTGGTGAACTTTCTTAGGATTATTTTGTGTGCGGCACGCACGTCTCTGTAATAGTTATGAATTTAGGAAGTAGGTTCGGGAATAGTGCTGGAAGATATATTCTTAAACTTTGTTTCAGAAGCCCCTGGAGCTGGCTTTTATGTGTTAGGGGCTGCCTGTAAACGAGCACAAAAGTTCTCAGGGACCTAAGGACGGAATAACCGTAAGGATCCAGTCTACCTATAGATCTAGAACAAAAAAATAACAGAGGAAAGCTCCTGGCCTTTTTATCTGCCCTCCTCCCCTCAAGGCAGGACAGTTGCTGTGTGTGTTTGCGCTCTGTTCCAGCACTGTTAACCAGATCTTTGGGAAAACACAAGTCTTTTACTATGACGGAAAAGCCCGTTTAGGGAATGTGTAGATCCATATGGAAAGTACTTGACATCCGCATGTTTTGGACTACAAATCCCAGAATCTCTTGCCCTTGGCCATGCTGACTCAAGCTTCTTCTGGAAGGGAAACGTGAAACTTCTTGAGGTTTCCTCATCTAGATTTCCACTGTTGGGTTTCAGGGCCGGCCATCCGGCGATGCTTTTATCCAGATGAAATCTGCAGACCGTGCCTTCCTGGTGGCCCAGAAATGTCACAAGAAGATGATGAAGGACCGCTATGTGGAAGTCTTCCAGTGTTCAGGAGAGGAGATGAATTTTGTTTTAATGGGTGGCACTTTAAATCGTAGTGGCTTGTCCCCACCGCCATGTAAGTTACCATGTAAGTCTCCAGTTCTTCCACTCTCTTTCTGGGCTGCTAAACGGCGGGCATGCTGGTAGGTGCTTGAACTTGATGGTGGCCTTGCCCTCTCTCGTCTCCGGCGCTAGCCATAATCTGCAATCATCCTACCTTGGGCAATGGGCTGGGTTTGGAAGCTGGACCCAAAATTGGATGTGATTTGAAGGCATTTTTCTTTAAGACTGTCAAACGCTTGAAGTATTTTAGTTGGTTAATCAAATTCCTTTGAACTACTGGCTTATTTGTAAATGTAGTTAAAGGGGTCTGTTAACAGAACCTCAATGAGTGTACCTTCTTTTCTTTTTCCTTTTTTTTAACATTGTTTTAAAAATCAGAAATAAAAGTTGAAAAAGAGGAACTTAACCTGCTTCTAGCTGTTGATCCCAGCTACCCTAAACCTGCTCAATCATTAGCATTTACATATGGGTTGATCTCCTACTATCCATTCATTCAGTAAGGTAAAGATAAAAGGTTCCCCTTGACATTGAGTCCAGCCGTGTCCGACTCTAGGGTGCGGTGCTCATTCCCGTCTCCAAGCTGTAGAGCTAGCGTTTGTCCGAAGGCAGTTTTCATGGTCACGTGGCCAGCGCGACTAGACACTTCCCACCGAGGTGGTACCTATTTATCTACTTGCATTTTTACATGCTTTCAAACTGCTAAGTTGGCAAGTCTTGTCTACATGCTTTCAAACTGCTAGGTTGGCAAGTCTTGTCTAATTGACATGGGATTAATGATAGCATTTAGCCCAGCTTCATGGTTAGAATTAGAAGAGGTAGCCATGTCAGTGTGTGCAAGCATATCATTAATGTTGTGGCACTTTCCAACAGCTAGTCTTTAAGGTGCCACAATGGTTTTGCCTTTTCTATTTTATATTTTTCTTTCATTTCTACCTGATATCCGAGTTAGAAAAGAAAGCTCAATATTTCCTTCATTGCCTATTACAGACTTCCTTCCTCAGCCAAGTGCCCTCCAGAGGTGTGGCACTCTAACTCCCATCAGTTCAAGCCAGGCAGGTGGCTGTGATGGGACTTGTAGTATCACACACTTGGAGGGAAACGGATGGGTAAGGCTGAACCACCTGTAGTGACATGGAAAAACCCTGATAAAGCCTCTTCTTGCTTCACTTAAACAGCCCCAAGTCTGACTCGTACTGTACCTTGATGGGAGACTTGGTCGGAAATCTGCTCTCCCCCGCATGATCAACCTCACCTTGAATTCTTTCTTGGAAGAAAAGAAGGGCAGAAATATGATAAATTGAGCTACTGCTCTTTCAAGTTACCATTAGCCTGAGCTGACTTAAGTTGCCAGCAGTGCAGAACCACGTGGGGTTACTCAGAAACCTAAGACTGCCATCCAGTGGTATAGTGGAGCCAGTGTTCACCCTATGAGTTTGGAACATCCTTTGCTACCCCCTTTTTTCTGGCTTCTCTGTTCCCTCTGAACTTAGCTGCAACCCTCAGAGCAGCTGGATGAGAAAAGGATTTTCCCCAAGAACAATATAGTATAATGTTGCAAGTGATCCTTATTGTAATTCAAAGTGTTTGTGGGTGCTCTGGTCTTGAATGGGCAATTACGTGACACTGGCTTTACAAAAGACCTGCTCCTCCTCTGTTGATTTGGGCTGATTCAGCTATCTGCATTTTTGGTCTCTTCTTGTTAGGGAGTGGTGGGGAGGGACTGGCTAGCAATTATGATCAACACCTGCCCCTTTGCTGGTCAATGACCGTAATAAAACATTTATTATTATTATAATGCTACCCTGCCCCTCCACAGTCACCATGAAACCATGGCTGTCATCCTACAGTATGTCCAGTTTCCGGGAAACAGACACTTTGGTTTAAGTAGACATGCCTAGCATTTTGTTGAGCACCCTCCATGGGCTGATGTACCCATTTATAGAGATGCTATGGCTTGTGGTCCTAAATGTTTGGTTTTTTAAAAAAAATAATAATAATTTGGAGTGCAACAACAAGCAAGGATTGCAATCTCTCCCTACCGTCCAGATTATGCACTTTGCTTTGGTTTGGATCTCCCTCCCCCCCTGCACCCAGGAAAAACAAAACTCTGTGGGCAAACTTCACCTTTAGCAAAATCTGTTTAGCTGCATCCGTCCCCCCCTCTCCCCATTTTAAATAGTGGGGGCAAACTCTGTTTTATTCCTTAGCCCAGAGGGGCTCCTTGTTATTACAGCACCGGGGAGACTTTCCTCTCCAGGGAGGGCTTGTTGTTGAACCAAGATCCTCTGTTGGGACGCGTGTTCTTCTGGACCAGGAAAAAAAGAAGAGAAGGAAGGAGAAAGAGAGAGAGAATGATGAAACAGGGTGGGTCTTCCCACTCTTAAAACCCTTGTAAGCAGCATTTCAGGCTTTGTTGGTGCATCAAACAAGGGGACCTTGTGCGTAACTTGTAGGGCTGGAGTGGGATGCTGGAGTTGGGGTAGAGGAAGATAAAAGGAGGGCCACGTTTCTGTCCATGGGCTTCTTCCCACCTTTGTTCTGCTGGCCAGGTCACTGACTAAAATGTGTCAGAGGAAAGGAAGGGCTGCAAGCCGGCCGTCTACATGTTGGTGCCACCTGAGCTGTTTTGCTTTGGCTGCTCCTTCCTGCCGAAACCGCACCAAGTCGAGCATCAAACAGGCAGACGAGACATTCTATAGAACAGTGGAACAAGCACTTTCTGGTTTCCAGCCATAGAGGGCATCTTTACCTGTTGGAATCAGGAAAAAAGCTCTGATAGAACACTGCTCAGAATTGACTTGAGGGCGCATGAGGATGATGATTTAAACCTTGGGGAGTTGGGAGCTCTTGTCGGTGAACGAGACAGCCCACCCATGTGTCTGTGGTTCTCCACCTGTCCCAGTTTCTTTGTTTTCAGCTTAAAACGATGAGGGATAGCACCTTGATCTGCCTCCTCCATTGTTCTGAGCGAAAACAAAACAAAAACTATGGCATGGGCATGCGAAAAGGGCGAGTCGGTCCAAATCCAGATTATTAATTTTTTTTTAAGCTTTGCCTGGGTGAAACGCTAGGAAGAAAAACTTCCAGAACACGGCCAAACAGCCTGAAGAAAAAAAAACTTGAAACGCTAGGAAGAAAAACTTCCAGAACACGGCCAAACAGCCTGAAAAAAATACTTACAACCACCATCGAATCCCGGCCATGAAAGCCTTTAAAAATACGAGCCTTTGAGAATCGTACTTTGCCTTGTCTGGTTTTTTTTCCCCCCCTGGAGCATGGATGCTCTCGTTAGTGGCATCCATGGCTAGAGGAGGGTGGCTGCTCCGCGAGGATCTTGCTGGTAAACGAGCTCTGTGTTTTTATTCCCTAGGCCTCTCTCCTCCAGCCTATGCCGCCTTCCAGACCGCTGCGGCTGCCGTCCTCCCGGCAGAAGCCGCCATATACCAGTCCCAAGCGCTCCTGCCTCAAACTCGGACCCAGCAGGTGTCAGCCGCAGCCGCTGTTGCTGCCGCCGCCGCTACTCCGGCGGTTACTTACTACCCAGCGCAGGCTGCTCAGCTTTATATGAACTACACAGCTTACTACCCCAGGTAGGACCGGACTCGATTCCTTCCTGTTTGGGGGCTCCTAATAGGTTGGGTCTCTGGCGCTGGAGCCAGAGGTTGGGAGTTCGATTCCCCACTTCTGTGCCTCCTGTGAAGCATGGCCAGCCTGTGTGGCCTTGGGCAAGCTGTACACAGTCCCAGGGCACCCCCCCCCCCAGAAGAATGCCTTATAGATGAACATAACTGCTCCCCTGGAAAATGAACACCACAAAGGGAATCTCCCTGTGGAATTAGTTGTGTGTGTATGTGTGTGTATCAAAGCCTTTGGGTCCAAGGGTGTTCCTCTCTTTCAGCCCACCGGTCTCCCCAACCACCGTGGGGTACCTAGCAGCTCCCCAGGCAGCGGTGGCAGCCGCCGCCTCGGCCACGCACACTCCGATGCTGCCCCAGCCTGCGGCCCTTGTCCGAATGCAAGGACTGCCCTACAACGCCGGCATGAAGGAGATCCTCAGCTTCTTCCAGGGCTATCAGGTCGGTGGCCGTTTCTTCCCCCCCACCCCTTGTTACTGCCGCTTGTTTTTGCGATCTTGCTCCTCAACAGCGAGCTCTGGATTGAGCTTTCCAGGGCTAGAGGTTTGGGAAGGGGGCAGGTTTTGGGCTCACAATAACGTGGGGCTCGTAATAAAAGGTTGGTCCTGTGTCTGCTGCCTGTTACCTTCCAGGCTATTCCATATCGTGTTTGTTTGTGTTGTTTGCTTGTTCATTCATTGGAAAGGTTGGTCCTGTGTCTGCTGCCTGTTAACTTCCAGGATATTCCGTATTGTGTTTGTTTGTGTTGTTTGCTTGTTCATTCATTGGTTCCTTCCTTCCTTCCTTCAATCATCAGCTCCTTCCTTCCTTCCTTCAATCATCAGCTCCTTCCTTCCTTCCTTCCTTCCTTCCTTCCTTCCTTCCTTCCTTCCTTCCTTCCTTCCTTCCTACTTACCTACCTACCTACCTACCTACTTTGTGCAAATTACTGGGCAACCTCTAGATGTTTTGGGCTACAACACCTCTAACCCCTGACCCCTGGCCATGCTGACTGATGAGAGTGGTAATAATCCAAAACCCCAGGGGGAGAAGCCCCTGCTTGCCAAACTCTACTGTAGAGTTCTCAAAGGCGGGAGGAGGGGGGGAGGAGGGGAGAGATGGCGATGCCCTCATTCCTTCTCCTCCTCCTTTTCTCGAGCCTCAATGTTCTGATGGCCCCTGTGGGGAATGAAGTGTGCAGCCCCAGCCCACTGAAGCAACATTGGAAAAGGAGACCATCTATCTCTTCTTTAATTCCATTTGTATCCCGTCTTTCCTCCAATACACTGAAGGTGGCGCTTTATCTTCACAGTCGCCCTGTGAAGGGGGCCCGGCTAAGAGAAAATGGCTCACCCATGGCCAGTTTCGTGGCTTCATGGCAGCTAGAACATGGGGGTATTCCAAGTGTCCGTCTAGTTACAACCCACTCGATGATGTCAGATTACCTTGCTAGCCATTTTCTCCTCTCCGTTGCCTCTTCTCCCCGTGTGACCAGTTTTCCATCCTGCCTCACAATAGTCTGCCAAGCATCTGGGGTTGCTGTTCGTGCTGAGCTCCCTCAAGGCATCATTGGATTCCTTACTGGGTGAATGAATGGGTTCCTCCTTTAGTATTTTCCCCATTTTGTGTGGGGTGTGTTTTGGGAGCTTCCTCCCGGGTAGGCGATATCTCCCTTTCCTGCAAGGATGTGTCATTTTGGTTACTTAAATCTCCAAGGACAGAGATTGAGTTTGCTGCTAATATGCATTATTACTCCGGGAGGCAGTGGAAGACAGGAGGGCCTGGCGTGCTCTGGTCCATGGGGTCACAAAGAATCAGACACGACTTAAGAACTAAACAGCAGCAACAACAACAACAACAACTAATATGCATGTAATCTAGCTCAAAGTATTTTAGAAATTCGTATTGGCCACAATTCTATTACCAGTGTCCGTTTTCTAAGTGTAGTTGCCTTAAATCTTGGTGGCAAAAGGCTGCTAGTTAGCAACGTGCTGGTTGCGTTCTTGAGCTTGTGCACACGCAGGAAAAGCAACCGGCACTTTGTTAATGAGTAAGTCACTTGCTGCCAAGATGTAACGGATTTTCCTTACACAAATATAAGTTAACTATAGGTTTCTAGACACTTTTCCCCGGCCAAATCAAACACTTGTAAAGGGAGGGTCACGCTTGTGGCTTAAGTTTTTGTTATCCCAAACCTACTCAAAATGTCGAAATCTGCTTCCCAACTAAATGGGGCGGGTGATACTTTTAGACAGCCAACATGCTTTTATTTTCTTCATTGTTGCAGAGCCTATTGATTTCCTGATCAATTCTCATCTAGATCATTATACTTATGAAAAATTCATCGTCCTTTTGGCCTGCCCAGTACATTTGTGTGGCTAGAGCATCGCCGCATGTCTAAATTCCGTCCCCCCCCCAATCTTCTCAAAACAACCCTATCCTCCTTTAAGAGTCTTTAAAATGAATTACTCATTTGCTCATTCCAGAATCTATTTTTGAACTTGCCCTGTGCTGCTGCATCTAATTGAATTATCCTCTCACTGTTTATCATGTGAAGAACTTAGCCTATATATTTAGATGCTCTGCTGCCATTGGCTAGTTGGGGATTGATTGAATGACAGTGGGGAGGGCACGGGGAGGCTATTGCAGGGTATTGTCCTGACAAACCTAGGGTTTTCGTGCATGCCACGTGGATCCACATGGCTCTGCTCTGGCTTTCAAGGATGCCACCTGAACCCCTTTTCAGTGTCTGGAAATTCCAACAGAGTCTTATGGTATGAGATAGAGATAAAGAGTCGGGCCGGCTGCCTCCTGTGACAGATGCAGGGGGCAGTCTCTTGGCTGTTGGCCATGAGCTACATGCCTGCATGCCGTAAAACTTTTCTTGAGTCCCGACCCATTGTCTTGGGGTGGCAGAGGAGACTATCCTGTTACTGTTCTGAGTGGACCAATGGTCTACTCCCATCATATGGTTGGAGGGTGCAAAGGGGTAAACCAATTTTTTTTCCATATTATTGGCCCCCAATGCAGCATATACGCAGTGGGGGAAATGGGCAGGCTTACAATGTGGCAGAGGAGACTATCCTGTTACTGTTCTGGGTGGACCAATGGTCTACTCCCAGCATATGGTTGGAAGGGTGCAAAGGGGTAAACCAAAATATTTTTTTTTCATATTATTGGCCCCCAATACACCATATACGCAGTGGGCGGAAATGGGCAGGCTTAAAAAGTAGAGTAGACATTGTCTAGATGGGCGGCATATAGGATGGATGGATGGATGGATGGATGGATGGATGGTATTGTGTCCTCTGGGGGCCATTTAGCCATGTTTTGAGGACTTCCACGGACACACCCGAATTCCTCAAAAAGGAAAATAATGGACCATGACTTAAAACCAAAACTCCTACATTGTATAAGAACGGGAGAGTGAAGGGCACAGGAGTGGCTATCGCTCGCCAAGGATGAGCATGTGTGATCACTGGATCATGGACGCTGGCGCACCCAACGCTAGAGGGAGTCCCATGGGTCAGGTAGGGTGTGGTCACACGCATCCACAGCAAGACGAGATGGTGAGCAGCTGTTGTCCATCTACAGAGGATCCCAGGGACAAAGGGGGGGGGAGAATGTCAGCCTGCTTGCATGTGGCTGGTGCACGCTTCCAATGTTGAGACCATAGCAGAAATTTTAAAGAGGAGTAACTGCAGCAGTTAGTTCTGGAGTTCACTGTCCTCGTCCATCCGTTTCCCCCGCCCCCCCAAAAAAAGTTTATTTTCCATGATCTGGTGGAGATGCATACTTACTGCTTCCCTGGGCAGGCAGATTCACTTTGTTGTCTTTTATGCAATTCACACAGTTCAGGCGTCTCAGTTTGAAAAGCCAGAATCTATAATTTCAAAGTGGCTGTGAGTTTTGTTTCGTGTTGCTTTTTTTGCATTCCTGTTCATGTTACGGTTTTGGGTTGTGTCTGGTTTCCGAATTGTTTTCCATGGTTGTTGTACCCCGATAGTTTTGTTAGAGGGAAGCATGAACAGATAGATATGGGGTTGGTCATTTTTCACATCTCTCCTTTTTAGGAAAGGAATAATAACGCAGATCCAAAGCAATACGTACAAAATTCTTTGCAGTGCAGTCTTTTTATACAGATGTTGTATATATCTTTCCAGCCTGTCTGTGTCACATAGTCTTGCCTATAAGTTATAGGAGCTTAATATTTTTGGTTTTTTTTAGAACAAATTTGGTAGCCGGGGTTGTCTGCAAACAGTTCTGCTATAAAAAGTGGGGAACACAATACAGGAGTCCAGGAGCCTCTCTCCTGCCCCCCCCCCCATAATGAGGCAGCATTGTGGTGGACTTTGCTGGGATTAAGGGTTTTCTTTCGCATATGTGTGTGAACAAAAGTACGTTTTCTTCTGTGGACCTCTGTAGAAACCAGACACCTTGCATGGCCCCCATTAGAGGTTCATTTCCAGTCTACATCAGAATCTTCTTCTTGCTCGTTTTGTTTCTATTTAAGTTGGGGGTAGAAGTTAGAGAAAGAAGCTCTGGTATGTCCCCTCATACTGCAGTCCTTGGATCAGAACTGCAGTCCTTACAAAGCTGTACTCCGATTTAAAATAATAAGCGTTTAGCCATTGTGGTTCTAGAAACTGAAATCAGACCGTTGCCTCTAAATCTCTCCACCCTTCACAGGGTCAGGAATTATCAGCAGTTTTCACTGGGACCTCAAATCATGTATTTCTTTCTTTCCATTCAGCGCTTTTTCAAATGCTCCTGTTTCTGTCCCACAGAGCTTCTTTGTTCAAGATTATGCCCTTAGTAAATCAAAGCCCTAAATATCAGATTCAGAGTAATACAGAGCCGCATACTCAGCCGAAAGTGCAGTTGAACAAGCATACGAAAATGTGTTTGCGTGATTCCTTTTTCGTACCTGTTTTTGAACAGGGGAGAAGCAAACCCTATTCAATTGGATATTCACAAATCCTGATATCAATATTCACACTGAATGTTGCTGAATTTTGCTTTATTCTTCTGAGTCTTGCTTTACTCTGAATCTGATGTTTGGGGGTTTAGTATTTACATGTATGTGTTGATCTGGGAAGGCAAAGAGGAGGGCTGTTTTCATCAATGCCCGGGTTTTGAAATGTGAATATTGATTAGCATTCACACCATTGCAAAACTGATTCAATTTTTTATGATAGTTTGGGCATGGGCGTGTAATGAGACCAGTCACTCCTCCTTAGTAGTTAGGAAATAAATGTTTGCTCCTTGGCAAATTAAAACATGCCATGTGAGTTGCAGGACTTCAGTTGACATAGTCTAGTTCAGTGGTTCTCAAACTGGGGCCCCAGAAATCCTGGGCCAGCACAGCAAGGGATGAAGGCTTCTGGGAATTTCAGTCCAAGAACATCTGGGAACCCTAGTTGGAAAACCACTGGCTAGTTGATCAGGAGGAAACATCTCTGCCTGCCTTGTGCAGCCATGGACATTTTTCACTGACGTGTAGGTCAAGTTCACCAAAGTTTGGTCTCTCTGCTGACTCTTGTTTCCTGGTATGGCATGCTCCAGCTTTCCTAAGACACTTTCCACTGCACTGTGGCTCAGCTTGGTGTATGGCAGTGGTGGTGTGTTGTAGGGCTGAATTTCCCATCAGTTCTCACCACTGGCTATGGTCGGTAGGGACAAATAAGGGTTATAATTCAACAGCATCTGGCGGGTGACGAGTTGCCAACCCAAATGGCAAGAGTCTTGGGTGCCTGCTTCTTATTTTGGTCTTGTTTTAACACACAAGCTTATTTGTCCCTTTTGTAAACATGGTACAAGTTGGGCAAAATTAGTGTTTCGGACAGCTCTCAGAATCTCCCACCCCAAATTTGCTGTGGTCCAAAACTGTCATATTCCCGAATTCTCACATATGCCATCCCCAATTATCTTGTGTGCAAATAAGGATGGCCTATATGTTGCAACTAAGCTGGTTGGGTTGCAGGATACGACACTCTTATTTCCAGAAGACAGCGGCACTTCTATTGTTGACTTCTCCAGCCTCGCCACCTTTGTTTAGAAAGATGTTTAAGACAGTGGGTAGGAAGAGACAACGGCTTGAGATCCTGGCGCTCCTGTCACCATAGAGCCCAACGACACCCTTTGCCTGCAGGATCGCTTGTTCCGAGATGTCAGGGCCGGTCCTGCCATCAGGCAGAAGGCGGCTACTGCCTCAGGCAGCAGGGGTTCGTAATGGCAGCTTCCCAGTTGTTCTTCCTGCAGGTAAACTGGGGGAAAGCTATCCCATTGCTAGGGTTGAAGGAAGGTTCAGAGGTCAGGCCATTTGGCTTCTGTAGAAGGAATATCAGGAATTGCTCCCAGGTGCAACACATCTTGAGCTGACCCTGTTTCTAAGCTAAAAAGCCTTAAACCATTGGGATCCAATTTATTTCGAGGACTGTGTCTCTCTTTATGAGCTTGCCCAGGTTTTAATATCATTAGGAGAGGCCTTTCTCTTAGTCCCACCACCTTCTCAGGTGCATTTGGTGGGGACACAGGAGAGGGCCTTCTCTGTCGCTGCTCCCAGACTTTGGAACTCCCTCCCACTGGAGGCCAGCCTGGCCCCATCTTTGCTGTCTTTCCCCAAGCAGGCAAAGACTTTTCTCTTCTGGCAAGCTTTCCTTCAGTGATTGGCTGCCTGAGTGGGGTTTTTCTTAATGGATTGTTTGACTTTACTGCTTTGAATATGTTGGCGGTGTTGCTTTTGTCTACCGCCTTTTAGTGTGGTGTTTGTTTGATTCTTTCCAGCATTTTTATACTTACTGTTTTTAGCTTCTGGAATTGTCTTTTAATGATGTAAGCCACTTTGTGTCCTTCTTAAGGAGGAAGGAAAGGTAAAAATGTTTTCAATGAGTAAATAAAGAAACACTCAACATCCCCTCTCTACCATGAACATCTGGAGAACTGCCAACAGTCCAGGTAGCTCCTATTGGGCTCGGCTGGCCAACAGTCTGATCAATGCAGGGAGAAGTTATGCTTCTGGACCACGAGTCCCAGGCTCCTCTGTTCTGGGAGCTGTGGTCCTACAAAGCCAGGTTTCCAAGCTGTGACTCAGTCTAAAGCCTACGCCCCGACTTGTTCTGGATACCTGTCACTGCAAGCCATGTTTTCAATTCATTGTGGGCTCTAGTTTTGATGAGCCTCTTTTCCAAGTGAAGTTTGCATAGCGCTGCTCCGTGTGCCTTGCCAGCACAAGACAACCTGCCCCTTCCCTCGCTGATCTTGTGTATCGCACTTGTACTGTAGTATGCGCCCGACGACTACAATGGCCTTATTCAGCTGAACGACCAAGCGAGGAGTGTGTTACAAGCACCGAAAGACTGGGTTTGCTTGTAAGTGTTTGTAACCTCCGGTGAAAAGGTAAGCACAGACCGGGCAGAAGTGTGGAGCCTTCGGTGGTGAATGGAAGTGATCTTGTTGTGGGAAATGATTCTTTCTCCCCCATCCCACCCCCACCCTTTTTTTGGCCTGTTTGTCTGCATCCTCCCTTTGGGACTCTGCTTGCTAACATATGCTTGCTTAGGTGCCTGCATGAATCAACTAATCTAGTGGCCGTGTTGATGGTGATTATAATAATGGGGCTGGGTTAAGGGTTCAGGTTTGTGCTTCTGGAGGAATGTTGGGTTTATCGTATCTGCTTGGGATTCTTTCTTTTTGAAAATGTTTAAAGAAAAATGATCATGATTTGTACTGGCTGGGCCACATGTATCTAACAGCATCCTTCTGTTCCTTCCATTGATGGACTTTGTAAAGGCAAAATGTCATGTTTCTGTGCAACAGGGGGGGGGAGTGGGGTAGATAGCAATCAGTAGTTAACGATTTTTTCCCCTTCCAATTTATGACATTCTGTGCTCTTGTGTAAAGGACTGTGGTTTAAATTCCTTTTCTTTCTCTTCAAAACTGTAAACAGACAAGGGCCATGGTGACTTCCAGGGTGTGCTTGTAAAAGTTACTCTTCAGGATAACTGGAGGCTTCAAAAAGTAACTTTTCCAAGCTTCTAGATAGGTTGGACTGCAACCTCATTAATTCCACAGCCAGTTGTGATAGTCTGTGTTTTTAATTATCTCCTTGGCTGTGGAGGGACCCAGCCTTCAGGTATATGGACGACTCCAGACCCAGGCGCTGAGCATCCGCACCATGTTCCGGACCTTGACAAGTAGATAACTAGCCAAAATGTGAACAGCATTGCAATAAGAATATAAGGAACTGAGTGTGGCTGGATTTGAGACACTGAAGGTTGGGGCCAATGGCCAGGTCCCCCCAGAATTCCATTTCTTTGAAAACCTGAGAACTAGTACCATGTCTGTGCTTTCTAATGTGCCCGTGTTCACAAACAGGCAGCGTTGCCTTCTGTTTTCAAGATGTGGCCACCATCATTCCAAGGGGAAGAGGAAGACCCAGAAGTCCTTGATACTTAAAGTAAATTAGGGCAAATCTCCAAAGCCTCCTTTCCTCATTAGCAACCCTGTTCTAAACAGGAGGGAAAAGGGAGCGGGCTAGTGGCATTAATCAGATTGCAAGGGAGGGGGAAAGAGATTTCCAGGGAGGGCTAACTGGGAAAAACATGTAAACGCGAGGACTGTGTTATCTGTGAATCCAATTTTATTCCAGATGGTGGTTATATTTTTCCCTGCAGTCTACACTTTAGGTTTTAAGAAATACTGTCCTAGGAGGTTGCATTAGAGGCAAATATGAACTTCCTGCCTCACCTCCTCCTCAAACATGTTCAGGAGTTTCTTTGCCCATTTAACAGGCAGCCAAAGCAATGGGATGAGGTGGGCAGGGTTGAGGGTCCAGATGAGACTTGTTTATAGCCTGTAACTGCAGAGGAAAGTGTGCTGGTGCCTTTAAAATTGGATGCCTCTGACCAACTGTAGCGCTTCTCCCTGACATGCTAGTTTTCTGTGTGCAGGATTACCCACCCAACCACCCACCCTCGTTTCCCAGAGGAAGGTTTGCAGCCACCCCTGGATTCCCTTCCAGAAGGACCATTGTTACTGGTTATTTTATTGACTAGCTCTAAAGAACCTCCTGCATTTGAGCCTTGAGGAAGCTAGCAGGACAAACGCGGTTCAGCTGGGCCATACTGCTGCCCCTTGCCTTAAACGTGAAGGAAATCATTGTGTCTTATCTGACACTAAAGTTCTTGTAAAATGTAATCTCGTGTCACTTCGGAATGGCAGTTTTGATCTCGCAGCTCTAGCCACCCTGGGGCAAATCAGGTGATTTCCCCCTCCGTCTCGGGATTTTTGTTTGTTTTTAAAGTCTACTCTCCGAGCAGCTATTCTAATTTCTCGCAATGCCTTGCAGCAATGCTGTATCAGCTGCCTAGAAAACCCCAAGAGACACCTCTGCCCAAGGAGGCTGAACAGAGGGAGTTTTAGCTCAGGCTCCCTGAAGCGTGGGAGGCAAGCCTGGCGAAGGTTTTTGGAGGGGGAATCACAAAGGTTAAGAAAGATAGGCACCGATCATCCAGGAGGCGACAGCCATACCTCCAAGGGGTTCTCCGCTCCCTTCCTCGGTAAGTGAGGGCAGTGTGCGAAAATGGTCACGATCATCATGCCATACCTCTCGACAGCAAGGGGTTCTCCGCTCCCTTCAGGGGTCCTTCTGCCTTTTCCTCCCTCTGTGCTCAGGCGGCCCCTTTGACCTTCCCTTCCCTCTTTGCAGCTTCACACAGACGCCATCCTCCCGCTCTACAACTTCAGCGGCCAGCTCAGTGGAGAAGCTCTGGTCACTTTCCCCAGCCTGGACTTGGCCAAGAAGGCTGTGGCTGAGCGGAGCGGATGCCTCCTGGGGAACCACTGTGTGGAACTCTGCCTGATCTAGTTGGGGAGAACCCCCCTCCTCCCTGGGGACCTCCAGGCCATCAGCAGGATGGAGTCAAGAACAACCCTCTCTCTCTTTCTCTCTCTCACCCCATTAGTGCCTCTTAAGAACAACTGTGCCTCCCTGCACCCAAGCGCCTTCTCCACGGGCTGTAGTTAGGGCGGCCGTCCTTACCAAACCGCATCCATCAAGAGGAGTGGCCGAGAAGGCCACCGACATACCCTCCATAATAGAAAGTTGTTCTAGAATGCTTGATTTTGTGGGTGTTGCTATGATGGCCCCTACCCCCCTGTTAAATTGAGGAGAGTCTGTGGCATTACAGCCACTGTGGACAAATCTTTTTATTTTATCTTTATAAATTGAAGAGGAAAAGGAGAAACCTCTGGATCACTTTCACATTATTGTTTTATTTCAAGTCAAAATATGCCAAATACCTGTCTTGATTTTTGGGGGGGGGGTAGGGGTGGATTCAGAAGCCCCTTTCTTCAAAGGAGGGGCCATGGAAAGACTAGTTTTTTGAAAGCAAAGTTATTTGAATGTTTATATTCCCTTTCCTAAGCTAAATAACAGCTTGGGAAATTGCATTCAAACAAAATAGTAACAGAAGCTTATAAGTTTTTTTTTATATATAAAACCTTTTTGTGAGGTACAAAACAACTAAGTAATTAAATAAAGCCATATCCAAGCTGCCAACTATTAAACCAAACAAAGAGACCAAGAATTTTTTTAAAAACCTCACTAGGACAAGAATATACATAAATGTTGAGGACTAGTAAATTATATATTTTGTTTTATTTAAGCTTGTTTAGCTCTCAGATACTGTATTAAAACATTTTTGCTCTAGGTTAATGTGCATGCCATTTGTTTACAGCATTATACTTTATCTGTATATTGTGAAGCAACAAGAGGAAATGAAATCTAAGTCTAATTAGTGCATGTCTCCTTTTTTTAAAAAAATGTCTGTATATACATGTTCAAAGAATACAGTTTTATGTGCGTAATATGTGTCAAACTAACTACTGTAGGAGCACTCTATAATTTTGATTTTACTGTGCCTTGATCAGGACTTCCTCAAAATGTGCAATAACTGCGTAAGGAATTAGATGGAGCCCCATTTTATAAGTGGCTCTTTGTAAGTGCCTGTGGACACAGGGAACTTTTGTTTGTTTGTTTGTTTTGCTAAGTGTACAACTTTTGAGTAATACTTAAAAAGGGAATCAGACTCCCACCCCCATCCTGAAACAATGATGTATGCTTCTTTATATAAGAAATTAAAAAAAGATGCTTGCAGAAAGAATGTCAGTTTTCTTGAACTCTTTGGCCACGTTGAATGGGAAACTGGAGAGGAGCAGAACACTGGAAAGTGGGGGTGTAGATTGATGGGCCACGTTACCAACTTCTGTGTTACTTTTCATGACATTGACTGTTGAGTGTACAGTACTGCTGTGGTGAAGGCTGGTTATTCCCATTGATCTTGCACAGGCAGTGAATCTGTTCCCGGTTTTGGTACAAACTGCAAACTTTTAAACAAGGCTAACCTGTTTGCTTTCAAGTGAGCATTTACCAAAGGTGATCTGTGGGGGGGGGTGTCCCTGCCAGAGGCACAGAAATGCATCAGAAGAGGGGTGCTGCCTCAGGCAAAAGCGTCAAGGTCCCATGGGGCTTTATGCATCTGCTCAGGGGCGCAAGCCAACTCATAAGAGGCTTCATTGAGTTAGACAGCAAAGCGCAGCTACTGCTTTGAAGAATCCCAGGCATTCCATCTTCCAGATTTGCATTGATTGTTTTTTTTTTAATTAAAACATTATCAACTCCCATCTTTCTGAGAAAAAAAAAAGATCCAGGGTGGATTACAACATTGAAAAAAGTGGTTATTTAAATTCCCAGTTCTGAGCTTTGCTGCTAGGTGTGCCAACTGAGCTATTCCATCACCACCACAGATCCTGCATCCCTACAGGAGGCAACCCTCAGAAATGTGAGGTTAAATGATCCTTTAACCTCAGCCTCCATCTAGAAGGTTTAACTTTGGGATCTTATAGCTTTAATATCTGGCCATAGGACACTGTGTTTCTGTACCCAACCCGAGGTCTCGTAACATCCAGCCAGGGGAAGCACTCTTGGAAAACACGAAAGCTCACCCACTTGGGGTGTTTCGGTGGGCCAGGAAAAGTATTGTTTTCCCTGCTATGGTGAGTAATGGGGTTGCGTTTCTATTTAAATTTGGATGATTTTTTTTTAATTGGCAGCTAAAAGCACAGTATATATGAAATCGGTAAGAAACCATCTGGTTTCCTTTTGAGGAGGCCTGCCCTAAGAAATGTGCCAGAAGATGGCCCCCTTGCACTGAGTTTAAGAAAACAGCATGCAGATCAAAGAGCTGCTGGTGGATGTCTGGGAGGCAGTGGAAGACAGGAGGGCCTGGCGTGCTCTGGTCCATGAAGTTGCATCCATAGGAGCAAAAACAGCTGATGATTCTGTTGGTTTTTCATGACACCAAAAATCGCTGCTTCCTGTGCCCGCCTCAGTCTGCCTAATGGTAGGGCTGGCCCTAGCTCGAATCTGAAGCGTGATGGCATGCCAAGACTGCCAGCAAATTTCCCAGAACTGTTTTAAAAGTGTTAGCCTTCCATTTTTCAGATCTGGGAACAAACATCTTGAACAGAAAGACATAACATGCAGCACGCCACACCAAACGAGGTAGACAACCACCAAGAAATTCAGTATTTCATGGCTTTCCCATATTGTGGTCTTTCTGAATTATTATGGCTGCCCACTCCCAATTCTAATCCATCTCTCTAATTACATTCATTAGGGTATATAGACACAATGTACTCTTTATGGCAGAATATGTGGGGGGGGGGAAGTAGCTTCTCTGCATTTTTGAGTGTTCTGGCATTTTAGTTTATTGCGGGTACCATTTGTCCTAATGCACAATACAGAAAAAAGTTACTGCATGCTTGGAAATGTATAAATGATGGCTCTAACCCCATACCTGAAATAGACATTTAATGGATGTTGCTGGCAAGAGAGAGGGAGAGGTTAGTCTGAGAGGTGTCAAGGGAGGAAACGGAGAATGAAGACTGCCTTTAATAGCTCTTTGATCAAGATGAAGGTAAGACCAATTCCCAGATAGAAGCCAGAAAGGGAAAGGATGCCTGCTGACCCAGAGACCCCCCTTTCAGTACTGCAAATGGGTGAGTGTGGGGACAGTTCCCATATCTGAGCGCAAAATGCTTGATATATAGGTGGAAAAGAGCTTTATTGAGAGCACAACCAGGGGACTTTGAGTGTTTGGAAACATTTTCCTTCTAGAAGAACTGGGAGGGCAACATTTTCAAACGTAATTCATTCATTTCATTGGTTAGTTTTTGAAGAGGAAGACTTCACTGCTATTTTTAATAACTTGTTACATTGTTTGTGCTGCTTGCTACTTTTCTGACACTTTTTATTACTGTGGGGGGGAAATAAGAGTAATAAAAGAATGGAATCAAAACATCAAGAAAACTGTTTACACCAGTAAAGGGACTTCAGCCTTTCCTGTTGCCATTTTTGAAATGCAACTTCACTCTACCTTCATGATCTGCAACAAAGTAACTAGTTATAGGTAATTATGTTACTTGTAGCTACCAAGCTCTGTTGTTACTGTAGATTATGAATTCCCAGAATTCCCCAGCCAGACTCTAGGAGGTATGGTAAAATGGATGCTCCTGACTGTGCTTGCTCAGTACAATAAAGGCTTTATCTACCTCAACACTGGAGTGTGTGTATGACATTGGTGAGAAAGATGTTTCTCACTGCCAGATAATTAGGATCAGCTCTGCTCATTTGGCACTTGAAAAAGTGTCAAGTGAACAGATTGAGAAAAGAGAAACTGGAAGAGGGAACGACACAGGCAAACCTAGACTGGCTTCGACCATGCTTTTTTCATGGAGAGGTTAAAGGTAAAAGCAATGGCATCATTACTGGAAGTATGCAGGGCATTTCTAGATTCTAGAAATCTAGTTTTTCACTGCAGAGGACAGGGTTGTTAGTCTAGATCGATGGTGCCCAACCTTGGGTAACCTGTGTGTTCTAATCTAGTTTTTCACTGCAGAGGACAGGGTGTTAGTCTAGATCGGTGGTGCCCTTGGGTAACCTGTGAGTTCGTGGGATGCACTTCCCAGAATCCTTTACCAGCAGCTGTACTGGCTGGGGTTTCTGGGAGTTGCAGTCACAGAATACCTGGAACCACTGATGAAGAACATGAATTGCGAATGTGTGGCTCTCCAGATGTTCAGGATGCAACTTCCCTCAGCCTTGTAATCAGACTAAAGATATAACTCCCTATTTATTGTTCTGCCTCCTTTATATGGACTTTAGCGATTTTGTCATCTACCACCCAGTCATTTCTCAACTGCACTTCTCAGGAGTATTAGATTTGCTCACTAATCTTTTTTTTTTTAATCACACATGTTGTAGCACTGCCACAAGTATGAGCAGTGAGTCTAGACGGTTGTCGTGATTGGACTGATTATAAGTGTCCAAACAAGCTATTATAGTTCTTTTTAAAATTAGGGTGAAAATGCATAGACAGGACTGATTATAAGTGTCCAAACAAGCTATTTATAGTTCCCTTTTTTAAATTAGGGTGAAAATGCATAGACATCATTTTGAACACTTGAACCTATCTTCCCCAACCTAGAGTCCTCCTGATGGGTTGTACCATTGTTCTTCCACTCAGAATGGCCAAGACTTTTAGTTCTAGGATGCCAATTAGATGAAGCATGTCTTCATAATACAGATGAAACCAGTCAATCTACCAAGTTAAAAGGGCAAACGTGTCTTGTGTCACAATTGTTCATTTGGAAGGGAATGACACCTAGAATAAGTCATGGACTAATTGCCCTTCTGTGACATAGCAGAGGTATGGGGCATTTCATTTTATGGAGGGGGGCACAAGTTAATTGCACTCTCTCTTCTCCACTGTAACAGCTCACTCTAGCACCAGCTGATTGCATAAAATGAGGAAGCTCAAGGCAAACTAACCTTCTGTCAATTGATCTGCAGTTTCTGGTGTTGCATTCTAATTACCTCTTAATTACAGGGCAAGAATGTAGAGCAGGGTTCAAGACTCTGAAGCTATATTTAGAAAGCATCACTGCTTTAACATGAAGTCATGTGGACTTACATCCACCCCTACCCCATTTATATCTCCAGAGCCATCTATAAAGAGGGAGACATCAGCCAGGAGACTAATCCTAAATTAGTCAGTGCTCTTGTGAGGTCATAGGGTTTGGATCCTCACACTTTCCACACCAAGGCAGATGCAAGTGTTTCACCTGAAGGATTCAGAATTTCCAGTTTGTGAATTCTGCAAGTTAACATGTTTGGAGCACCAGCTCCATCTTTTGCTAGAACAATACTTGTTGTCTTGGAAGGTTTGGGTAACTGTAAAGACATTAGCCATCTTGTCTTCCAAGCACCATAGCAATGAAGTCATCACCTAAAGCAGGAACAGCCCAACAAACCATCGTCTGTTGCTTATTGCAACATCCACTTGGCCCCTCTTTCTCCCAAGAAACCAGAATAATAAGTAGGGTCATTTTTTTTGTCTGTTGGGGAAAACCAAATTGCTGAGCTTGGACATTACAGAAAATGAACCATGGACAGAAGGTTAGAGAATTCTGCCTTTTAACATCATATTCTATCCCATCCATTATTTCATACAATGTCAGTATGAAAAGTTTCCCCAAACACTATATGCAGTTAGAGTGAAGACACGTGAACATAATTGTACCCATTTTCTTCTTTATTTCAACACTATGATTCAAGAGCCTAAAATGCAAGTTTTCCCTTTGTACTTCAGCATGTAGCACTGCAATCATAACTTACAAAAGGTTTAATACACAAAATGTACATGAAATTACAATACAAGGCTCTGTAAACATCTAGAATGTAACCTTTAGACTTAAATCATAATTGTCCCACGTTATTAAATATAAAACTTCAATCTGAACAATCTCCAAACCTCAAGGAATGACATTCACTCTGTATCAAAAATAGAGATTTCCATGATTTGTTTGCATCAGAACAAAATTTGTCTTTTTTCTTTTATCTTTGGTTTTATATAAAGGATGGCAGTTCCATTTTTCTGATGAAGAGTTTTATTACTACGAGTGCCGGACTGTGGTCAAACTTTGGTAAAAACCAAAACCTGCTTTTACAGCCCATATTAAACAGACCATAAACTGCCTTCTCAGCTGATTTACAAAAGCTCCTATTCCTTCCATAAGTACTTGCTTTTATTAATGCTTTCCATGGAGTTTTTAAAAAACTTAGTAAGTAGCATAGAAAGCAATCAGTACATCTTGAGGCAGTAGAGGCCAGTCCCAGGCTGCTCCTGAAAATTTCAAGTTGCATAGTCCAATGGAGATTGTGTGCTTTTATATCCACTACGTTATACAAGATTAACAGTCTATAGCATCACACAAGCAAAAATAAAATATAATTAAGACCCTTGTACTGAAGCTTTTACAAGGCCAATATAACCATTTCAGTACCCAAAGTTTCTATCTTTGTTTTAAATAGGAAAGCATTTCTACAGCTACAGGCATCAAGGTATTTAAAGGCATCAGAAGATTTTGTGAACAATCCACTAACTCCACTGCTGCAAGATTTTCATGCCTTTCAGTGGGTTTTTACAAGGGCTCCTGTGCAAACCTTGCTAAAACATGAAAGGCTGTCGTGCTGCAGTTCTATACTAGGTGGACTGCTCACTTAGTGCATAGCAACACAGAATTGTCTGGGTTCCCACATTTTAGGTACAATATAGTCTCCAACTACTCAGAAGGACTTAGAGGAAGAAGAGGCTGAAGCATGCACCATCAAGGAGCATGAAATTCCACAGAGTACAGAAAGCTCTGAAACTTGAAATCTCCTTGCAACCATTGATTACTGGAGACTCATATAAGCAGTAAAAAAACCTGTAATACAGCCACCATCACAAAGTATACATTAAAAGTCTTAGACTACTGAAAAAGGAGTGCTACAGCTATCACCAGCCATATTTCAGGGTATTTAAAATGGGTTGAGGTTAGTAAACAGAAGACAGATTTATTTGCAAAGAAACTCTAAAGATGCTGCCTTTTGATTTCTAACATTTATAGAGGACTATTTAGTAATTCCAAATCAAATCAGAATACTATAGGTCAAAGGAGCTGATAAAAACATGTATGTGTGAGGAAGGGTTGCTCCACAAATTTAGAAGCCTCCCTGTTCCCAATGTTGTTGTTTTAAAATTAGTTATCCTTTATTTTATCATTTTTATTTTAATCCCATTGCTTTAAAATAAAATTCTCTTAAATTTACTTTCCAGCGTGAAGTCCCCTTTGCTGTTCAGCCAAAGATTTATTTTTTCCTAGAAAAAGACATGATCTATACACAGACCAACAAAAATCAACTCTTATCTAGTGAGGAGTCTCATGTTTCAATTCCTGTAGGCTTCAAATGATTCGGGCTTCAATAAGCTATACCACTGAATTATTTATTTATGTTCTTTATAGACTGTCTTCCTCCCCATAGGGGAAATGAAATCTTAACTTGAAATGGTGGCATTAGACAGTTTCAACTCCATTATTATCAACATCATCTTTTGATAGGGGGATTAGATTCTAAAGACAGAATGTAAACATTTCTCCTTGATCATCTGGGCTGCTAGATTTACAACAAGAGTTCTAGAAGGGCAGAGTCCCCAAGACTGTCTTGCCTGCCAGAAGTCCACGGTGGATACTGTCATTAACAATTGCTCCCTACTGCAGTGTCTTGATTTGTCGCTATACGGGGGGAAAAAACCCATAGGAACGCATTAAAACACGTTTAATGCATTCCTATGGGGGAAAAACTCACCGCTATGTGGAAATCCTCCATCCGGCCGCCATTTTCGCTGCCCGGTAAGCAAGGAAAGGGCGCGAAAATGGAGCGGGTGGTCATTTTATTTACCCAGCGGCTATTTTGGAACCGCCGTTCAGCTGTTTTCTAAACATCGAAATGCGAAATGCTTACTGATCATCACAACACGATGTCTAGCCATTTAAAACATCGCAATGCAATCGCTTTTGCGATCGCAAAAAACGCGTCGCTATGTGGGTTCGTCGTTAAACGGGGCCCTCGTTATGCGGGGCACCACTGTAAATTGCCTCTAGGACTATCACTAACCCTATCCAGAACAGCATGAGCAGCCAGGCAGGTTTGCTGAGATCTGAAATACTTTTCACTAATTAATTAAAAAAAATCTGCTGCATCCCTTTACTAATTACTGGGACTCATTCAACCACTTAAACACTGCTGTAAACAGAATGGCCACCATGCTGTTAAAAAAAACTGGAGAACAACAGATGTAAATAATTAGATTTATTTAACAGGGGAAAACATGGTCTAATTGCAAAACCCTACCTGAGGGATTTCAAGATGGCAGGAAAAACTCTAAATGTTTCTTTAAAGAATGTTTTTTTTAAAAAAAAATCCAAAAATCTTAATTAACTCCTTAAAAATGAGCTTTTATAGAAACTGTTCTGAACAAGTAAAACTGTTTCTGTTAGAAATGGCCTGTGCTGGCAAGGGCTATAAAGTTATGTTAGATTATGGAATGTCATTTCTATCCAATATTTCCATGATGGAATGGTCTCTTCACAGCCTACCAAAGATTTTCAGTGTACAAAAAACACAGATCTATATTTGGCTTTGCTTCCTAAAAATCCAGAGAAAATCCTAACAATCTTTTATACAACAAGGCTTCCAAAGGCATTGGCTTAAGATGACAGGTAATTTTTTTGCCTATGGAAGATTATTTTTATAAAAAGGTTCTCTTTTCAACCATATAAGCTTAAAGGCTCTTCAAAAAGGCTCCCTAACCCCACCCCACCCTGTATACAAATTTAAATTACAATCCTAATATCTCTCCTAAGGAAAAGCAGCATATGAAGATGTGTATTTTTTTTAAAAAAAATCCCCACATTCAGTACTGTGCCTATTGAGAGCAAAACTATATATTTCTCCATACAAGCATATAATATAAAAGAATTCTACTGAATGCATAAAACAAGCAAAACTCATTGGTTTTTTTTCAACGTTAAAATATATTGTGTTGCATGTGTCCATTTGTACAAAGTAATTTTTACAAGATCCTAAAAATCCTAGAATCAGACTGCTCTGTCCCTAAGTCAGATGTGTAACCCTCCCCACCAGCCCAGTCCCCAAGAACAGCTCTACAAGGGTCCACTGTTCCAGATGATCAAGGCCACAAAAACTGGAAGCACAATAACTCTAAAGAGGGGATGAAGCATTACTGAGGGAAAGTGCCAAGTTTTCGGGACTGCTTAATTAATAAGGTCCGTCGCTACTGAACTCCATCTGATATTCCCGTCTCCAAAGATGCAGAACAAGCGTGTGGAGAATGGACGGCTACTTCTGCTCCATGAGACACAGAGATCTGTGACATATCTCTTCCTATTATTTCATTCACTAAAAACAAAATACAGAGAAAGGATTGAGATTTGCAGTTTGCATAAATAAGGTTTTTTGAGGCTTCCTTATTAATAAAAAAGAAACAAGAAATAGACTGTAATTTTAAATGATACTTTCTTCTTCTATGCATATCAGAAGCACCACAATTTAATTAATAGAATCTGATGTAAAATTAGGCAATTGTCTTATATACATACATGTATACGTATTTTCTATTAGTTGAAGATACAACTGAACAAGTTTAAAGATCTCTGTAATACCAGGATAACATGCAACATGAAAACAAGTTTTGAAACAATGGAGAAGGGATGGATTCTGCAGTCTACAGGTGGAATTTTATATATTCTGAAATCAGAATAATAAAACAGTGCAGACAAGCAGTGGTGAAACAGCATCAAACCCAAATTTCAAAAGCCTGAACATGATGAGTTCTCAAGTGGTCTTAAAAGAAAAGGTTTGATACCAGCTGAGCCTCCATGCCAAGATTGAGCCCAAAGTACATACATTGCAAAGATACAAGTCTTCGCTCTACTTAATACCCCAACTCATCTCTAATGGTGGAAGAAGCTAAAGAACGGCTTTTGAAGCAATTGTGAAATACTGCAGCAGAACTATGTAGAAACAGAACCTTGAAAACAAAGGAAGAAACAAAAAAAAAGTCTAAATGGTACTGAAAAATGACTGCAAATCAAACAGAAATTAGTCCTAACAAGAGCCATGAAACATGTAAGACACTAAAAAACATAAGCAACACCACCACACATTCAATGCAGTAAGTACAACAGCTTATTTTTTAAAAAAACAACCCATTCAGGTAGCCAGTCACTCAGGGTAGGCTTGCTTGAAGAGAAAGGTCTTCACCTACTTGCCAAAGGACAACCAAGATGGGGCCAGCCTAGCCTCCAATTGGGAGGGAGTTCCAAAGTCTGAGAACAGTAACCGAAAAGACCCTCTTCCGTGTACCAACCAAATGCACCTGAGAAGGTGGGGGGACCAAGAGAAAGGCCTTTCCTGATTATCTTAACACTTGGGCAGGCTCATAAAGGGAGATGCAGTCCTTGAGATAGCTTGGACCCAAGCCATTTAAAACTTCATAGGTTAGAACCAACACCTTCAATTCAGCCCAGAAACAAATTGGCAGCCAGAGGAGCTGCTGTAATGGGGGGGCTATATGATCTCTGTAACCAGCCCCAATCAGCAATGTCATTGTGTTAGCATTAGGCCTACTGCAGTACCAGTTGTACCTCTTCAGAATTAGAGTAAGTGTGGTGATCTTTGTTGTGTAGTCAGCTGCACAATTTCTTGGACAATGAGGTCATCCACCACACCTGTAGAATTGGGGGATGTTACTTGTACTGAGGAAGAAGTTGTGGAAATGATTGTACCACTTCTTCAATACCTGCCTGCACAATGGTAGAATTAAGCAAAACTGCAGTAGCACAAGTTTCCACTTTGCTAACATTACAAAGTTTAGGTCTAACAAATTAATGATGATATATGCTTTTGGAGACTACAGTACATTTTGGCAAAGCTACCAAACTTTCTGGCCCAATAAATTCAAGGTGCTAGAAGACTCTTAAATATCCTGTACAGAAAAGAAAAACACAGTAATCCCTTTGATCCTGTTACAGCAATAATTAAGAACTTGGCAACCATTCCTTTCTCCACCATTTTGAGTTGATGTCTCTCCTTTTATTTCCTTCATATGAAAGGAAATATCCAGGTCCTAAGAAGTGTATCACTCTAGAAAGGATAAAGCTGTAGCTTTGAATTATACTCAAAAGCAGACTAGGATAAACTGTAACTGTTCCAAAGCTGAATAGATGGAAGCTCTGTGCTCAGTCCCAATTAAGAAGATCTGTTGGCCTCTTTCAGAGAAAGCCCATGTACATGTCTTGTACTTGCGGGCTTTTTTGTCCTACCTTACAGCTCAGCACTACACAAAATACCTATGGCCATAATGCACAGTGCCACGTTTTGCAAAAACCAAACATAGCATATCAGCTCAAAGAGCTCGTACCAACTGTCAAGCACAGTGGTGAAGGGGTGATAATTTGGGCCTGTTTTGCATTCACAGGACCTGGGCACCTTGCAGTCATTAAGCTGACCATTAACTTCTCCATATATCAAAGTATTCTAGAGCCAAATGTGAGGCCATCTCTCAGACAGCTAAAGTTTGGCCGAAAAAAGCATCATGCAGCAGGACCATGTTTCCAAGCACAGCAGCGAATCTACAACAGAATGGCTGAAAAAGAAAAGAATCAAGGTGTTGCAATGGCCCAGTCAAAGTCCAGACCTCAACCTGACTGAAATGCTATTGCGGGACATTAAGAGACCTGTGCATAAACAAATGCCTGCAAACCTCAAGGAACTGAAGCAATGTTGTAAAGAAGAGCGGACCTAAATTCCTCCACAACAATGTGAGAGACTGATAAAGTCATACAGAAAATGATTACTTGAAGTTATTGCTGCTAAAGGTGGTTCTACAATCTACTGAATCATAAAGTCTACTTAGTTTTTCAACAAATGGCTTCTTCATTTTGGCTTCATTTTTGTAAAATAAATCATGACACGGTGTAACATACCATGTGTGATTATTCATCTGAGGTAATATTTATCTAATTTTCATACCTGTTAAGGACTATATGGCTTTTCTTATGTGCTGATACGTAAAAACTATGGAATCCAAAGGTGGTGTACTTTCTTTCTCATGACTGTATATCCCATAAGTAGCCATCAGTGGGGCTCCCGCCAAAGTAGTTTTGCTCTCAGTTTTGAAGATTCCAAGATGTCTGCACACACACTGGAAAAAAACGTGTGTGGTGCACAGAGAACATGAGAAAGACTCAGAGAATTTGGGGAGGGGAGATGAAGAGAAGCTAAGTGTGTTGCTTATATATTGCTGTAAAGGACTCTTAACTCAATTATGCAGGCCACACATTCCCCCACGAGCTAGGTCTTCATTTTATCAACCTCATAAGAATGGAAGTCTGAGTGAACCTTGAGCTGGCTATCTGTGACTGAACTCCAGCTTGTGAACACACTTTTGGCTGCAATACAGTTTAAACACTTCACCATGAGGCTTTTCACAGAACACAGAAGTTCATAGAAGTCATGTAGTGATTTACACACTACATGTAACAATTACCTATTATGACAACAGTGTTACCTTATTCTTTTGTTCTACTTATCCCTTTCCATATTTCAGTTCATCTAAAGGCAGTGGCTATCATAACTCTGAGTTATGAGTAGCTGAATATTCCAAGACATCCCTTTATACTTAAGCAGCTTAGTCACAGTGTTTCTGAAGCTCTTTTAGCCAACAGCTAGAAGCTTCAAAGTCTGAAGTCCAGATTTACCTGCCCCTAGCTACCACATTAATTCAAAATGGGAATTAACAAGGAAATTATTTTTCTGCAACCATTTAGACTGATTCTGCATTCCCTCAAAAATCTCTTTGACAAAAAGGATAGTTTTGTCTTAACAAACTGATATAGAGATAAATTTTGGACAAATGACACGAGAGATTCTGAAACCCCTGCTAAGTTACCATTGTCTTGGTTCTTCAAGTCACTGGTTTGAACAACTTTCATTTTTAAATTTGAAATTTAATGCTGTGAAATTATTCCAGTATGATGGAATATCTGATCTATGGCAAAGCTAATAGGGTATGTGAAATGTTTAAAGAGTGGTTTATCATTGCCATCTTTTTCCCCAAGAGTTTTCATGGCTGTGTGAGGCTCTGAGCCCATGTCTCTTCAGTCTTAATCTGACATTCCAGCCACTATACCAAACTGTTACAACCAGAAGGATTATATCCCTCACTTTCTCTTCTTGCCTGATGAGCTAAAAGACTGAACACTGTATCAACACTTTTACAACAAGAAGGTCCCAGGATCTCTTCCACACCATTACTCTGCTGCAGTTGGAGGACCGTCTGTATCAGTGGGCTTTTTTTCTGAATGCCTTGCTTAATTACTGTGCACAAAGACAGGATTCACTGAAAAAGCATAAGGTGGTGGTTCATACGGAAAATATACTGGCAGTAGAAACATCTGTTAGGAAAAATGCATTGGTAAAACACAATTTTATAATGTTCTATGAATTCCTGTTCTGTTTACAGCACCCTTGATTTTATACATTTCTAGGCTTCATTTTTTATAAGACACTCCTGAGACAGATGGCTTTGAAGAGAGGGAAAAAAAGTAAAATGGGAATCTTGTTTACATGTAGCTTGAGAACTTGGAATTGCAAACTACTTGATTACCTGCTGACCATTTGGAAATTATTTTGAGGCTGTATAGTTGGAAGCAGAACAGGTGGCAAGTGACATCTGATAAAGTTGCTGGAACGATCCACTTTGCCTTTTGATCTTTAAAGCAGAAGTCTACTGGCAAGCTACATAAACCTGCCTTCAAGCTGCAGAACCTTTATACAAACATAAATTCTAATACTGTACAGCTGTGCCAGTATGCACTTTTCTGCAGATTAAAGACAGAGTGCAGAATGAGATGTCATAAAGGTATAGAGTTTGAAGGTATTCCCAAGTCATCTAGTCTAACCCCCTATTGATGCAAGAAATCCACAGGTTAAGCATCCCTGCTAAAAATCTGTCTAAAGACCTCTGTTGAAGCAGTCTACCACCTCCTCAGACAGTCCATTCCACTATTAAGCAGCTCCTACCATCAAGAAGTTCCTTCTAACATCAGAATCTCTCTGTCATTTGAAGCCATTGGTTCAGATCCTACCCTGTCGAAGAGCAAAAAATAAGCTTGTCCCACAATCCACATGGTAGCTCTTCTGTCACCTCTCAATCTTTTCGTCAGTATAAATATACCCCATTTTTCAACCCTTAACAGGGCTTCATTTTTAGATCCTTTACCATCTCAGACGGTTTCATTTCAGACCCTTTACCATCCCTTTTCCCTTGGACATGTTCCAATTTGTTCATATTCTTCTTAAACAAGGGTGCCAGTACCAGGTACTGTCTTCCAGAT